CGCCCCTCATTCATTGCGGTCGCAATTAGTGCTCAAATGGAAGCTCCTTCAGATGTCGCCTGTTCCATGATAGCAACACCGAAGCTAATCGAACGGATTTCATCATGGCGACAGTTTTCAATAAACATTTTTTGCCAGGGGCTAGATTAATGAAATGGAAAAAACCGGATGTTGCCCGATAATGCCATATTTTGCGTAATGTTTCGCTTACAAGTGACTTTAAAGCTCGGAGTTTTCATACGAGTCTGTCACTGATCTCTCTTTGGCATCTTAGTGAGTGCATAACTCTTCTGAAAGACGCTACGTGTCATCCACTGATTCCTGCTTCTCTTGAAAGGCGGCACGTATGACTCTGTTCTGCCTTAGCACCAGCAGAGCATGGATACATCCTGCGTGATATTGTTGGCTATGGCAATATCACTCCAACGTTCATTTTCTGATACTTCTTGTATGCTTTCGCATACCAAGGAATGTTATTTGAAGCGTAGCACAATTTCCATAGTCCACCTTTCCATGATGGGTTCGAGGTCCCGGGTTCAGAAGGTCCCCCTGAAAATCTTTGATGATCGAAAAAATTGTTCTAGGCGTTACAGTGAAACGAAGAGCACCTGGCAGTGCAGGTGCTTAAATCCTGGGGGTCTTAATAGGCTTAAATAATACCCTGTACTGTTAATGTCCAGAAGCATAGGGAATGGCGGTGTCGTACTATGATGCCCATTTTTTGAAAATCATAGCTTTATAGCTTTCCTGTTCCACCGGTAATCACAATTTTTTAACTTCTGATACCGAATTTATTTGGCGCAAGTGTGCCTCTCACTTGCTTCTGGTTTCTTAGGAAGACAATTTTAGCAAGCCATAGCTCCATAGTATTTGAGCATCTGTAGTGCATTTAATGCATGCCATATTCCGATGTTGTGAAAATTATAAATGAAGGTACTTCTTGCTCCATATGCCATATGTGCATCGAATACTGTAAGTTAATTTAATATTTTGTTTCCATGATAACAAACAATCAGAATTATTTGTGGAAATATTCTTGCCATCGTTTCGACCATGAATCTGGCATAACTTATTTACCGAGCCGGTTTGTGAGCGATTAAAATTCGCACTTAGTGGTTCTATCAAAAAATGTGCCATGGACTGTAGAAAACTACTCAGCAAGTTGATTATCAGAATCATGTATATTAGGATAATACAATCGGCAAGCTTTACGTATACAAGCGTTTTCCATTCTTTCTAGATTTTTCTTGGTTCTTGGAGTTATTCAGAATTTGAGATTATGATATTTTATTTTGAGATTACTGTTTGACTACCATCATTTCCTATATGCCATGTCTTATAGCCCATGGGGTTCGTTAGTTTTTGTCCCTGCTGTGCAGTACAAAACGTTGAACTGTAAATTCTGAAATTCATGCTGACTCAATGCCAGTGTTTGAAATACAAAGTATTCTA